CTGCTGAGCCTTCCAGCTCATGCCGGCCCTTGGTGTTGTGTCGGAGAGGGGGAGCCGTGTGAGTCTGTGTCTGCAAAGACAGCGAGGAGTGCTGGGGCACAGAGTGGTCGGGGCCTGCGCTTTCTGATGTGACGGGGATACCTGCCCACGGAAAAGTGGGCATAAAAGCAACGTCAGTCGTACGGTGGCTGTCCCGTGGCAGCACCTTTGGGTCACCGGTGAATGGGCAGGAGAGGGGGAGCCGTGTGAGTCTGTGTCTGCAAAGACAGCGAGGAGTGCTGGGGCACAGAGTGGTCGGGGCCTGCGCTTTCTGATGTGACGGGGATACCTGCCCACGGAAAAGTGGGCATAAAAGCAACGTCAGTCGTACGGTGGCTGTCCCGTGGCAGCACCTTTGGGTCACCGGTGAATGGGCAGTCCAGAGGCAAACTGCGCCACGACCCATCCCGCAAGCCAACGCCCACCCCCCCCCCCCCCCACCTGCACGCCCACTAGAAGGTGTCACTCGCTGTTGCCAGCTAAGCCCGGGGGAAGGTTCCCGGGTGCTCCGAAGCCGTGGAGGGGCAGAGACGGAGGGGGCTGTGCCCGGGGGAGGGCGTGGCTTTGGGGGGGGGAATCCCTGCCTGGCCACAGCTCCTTGCGCGTCCCAACCCGTGCCCTGAGTGTCTGTTCCCTTCGGCACAGAAGGAAATCCTGTCGCGGGTCCTTCGCTACATTGAGCACCTGCAGTCCAGCATCGGCACGGCCAGGGCCCTGCTCCGGCGCGGGGAGAAAGAAGGGGAGGGGCCGCAGGTGGCCCGGGGGGAGAGGGGCGGGACCCTGCCTGGCCACAGCTCCTTGCGCGTCCCAACCCGTGCCCTGAGTGTCTGTTCCCTTCGGCACAGAAGGAAATCCTGTCGCGGGTCCTTCGCTACATTGAGCACCTGCAGTCCAGCATCGGCACGGCCAGGGCCCTGCTCCGGCGCGGGGAGAAAGAAGGGGAGGGGCCGCAGGTGGCCCGGGGGGAGAGGGGCGGGAGCTGCTGCC